TAAAAAAAGAAATATCTAACCACCATTGTTTACTTGTAACATATTTCTATTTGCAATACCAGAAAATCCAACTGTTCCCAAGGTGACATAGAATTTGCCAATTTCACTTGAAAGGATACTGAAGTTTTAAAAATTCAAATATAGTGTTATTTAACACTTCCATAAATATTAGATTGAACCATATAAACTTGCTCATATTTGACCTTTTTGGCCCACAAAAACAGAAATTAGATGTGGCTCAATCTAACACATAATTTTACTAAATTAAAATCCCTTGAATAGAATTTTGTGACATTTAAAAATTCATAAATAAACCATAATTACTATTTGTAAATTTTAAAAATATGTCCAATTTTATTCACTTAATGAAGGTTTGGTACATGGAGAGCTGAATCGCTATAAATTTAACAAGTCCAAGGTTAGACACAATATTGGTACCTGTTCAACAGTATAACACCACAGCCAAGGGAAAAAAATGATTTGCATCTCTACAGCACAAAAGTTACATGTCACTGAGAACTTTTACCTTCATTAGCGGGCCGTACAAAGTCCAGTCCCTTGTATGCTTAGAATTCAAGCCGACCTTAAGTCAATGAAAGGTCATTCCACTACATTTTTTTTAAATCCTCACCCGAGGGTATTTTTTCCATTGAATTTTTTAGGAAGAATGAGGGAAGGTGGGGAGAGAAAAGCATTGATGTGAGAGAGACCAGGGCCGGGGATCCAGCCTGCAATCGAGGTATGTGCCCTTGACCAGGAATCCATGGGAGTTGAACCTTCAGTCTGTGGGCCCACGCTCTAACCACTGAGCAAATTGACCAGGGCCCACTACATTTTCACCTTATTCAATGAAGCACCTTCTAGTAAAGGCAGGGACTTGACACCCAGATGCTTAGGAAGAGAAACATCAGGAAGACCAATCTCCAATAATTCTCCAGAACACATGAACTGAAGACGTCCTCCTAATATGTAAGCAAGTCTGGGGAGCACCTTAGACATCACCCCTATCAGAGGCTCTGTAAAGGACTCTGTCGTCACAGCCACACCTCAGGGTTTGGATCCAAGAATACTAGTTGGTTTATTTCAAATTTCAGAAAGTTCAGATTACTCTCAACATTTCTTTACATTGGCACTTAGATGCTCAATAAATATTAGTGTAAAAAAAGGTCAAGGAAGGAAAGGAAAGAGGAAGGTTGGTTGCTTGGTTGACTACTACTAGTAAAGTTTTAATAAATTCCCTATACCCGATAAACTCAGTTAATCATCACACAGAACTAATACATTTTCACTAGAGAAAGAGTATTTCATTTTCATTCAGTAAATGGCTACTGAATATTCATCATATGCCAGGGACTGTGCTGGGGACTAAGAATCCCTGTCCAAACAGAAGTTACCATCTAGGCAGGACCCTGAGAGTCACAATTCAGTGATATATGCCCTGAGAAGTTGCAGTGGGAACTGCAAGAGGTGACCTAAGCCAGATGTGGTCAGGGAAGGCTTCCTGGGGAAGTACTACCCAAAATGAAACATGAAAAACATCTCAGGGGAAATAAATGGCTGTGTATGAAGGCCCTAGAGAGGAGAAAGGGCACTTTTATGACAGGAAATTAAAGAAATTCAGCATTAAGAGTTGAGAGGGAGGAAGTAAGGCCTAGATCAAGCAGAGATTTGGGCCATGTTAAGGATTTTGACTAACAAGTAATAGGCATTTGTTGAAGGGTTTTGAGCCAGAGGCTAACGTGACTAGATGTGAATTTTAGAAATACCACTCTGAACTGCAGAATCAAGAGTATAATGGAGAAAGGGAAATGTTGAATGCAGATACTTTTATTTTTAATAAATATTAGCTCCCAGAATCACTGGGAGGGATGAAGAAAGAGAGCCTAGCTGAACTTTCATGAACAATTCCCTCCAAAACAGACCGAGAAGGGATATGCTGTCTCTGGCATGATTAGGAAAATCCGGACACTGCCCCACAGCTACCAGCTTCAGGCCAGACACCTGGCAGACCAAAGTCTGCTGCAGGAATCCAGGTCAGAGGGGACAGAAGCTGGAACTGGGATTATGACAGTGGGGGTGGAGAAGAGTGAAGGGATGAGTGATTTAATAGGAGGAAGAATGAATGGAGAAGGTGAAGGAGAGTAAAGCATGATATCCAGGTTTCTGGATTGAAGCTACAGAATGGACAGAATCCATTACTGAAATAGAGTAAACAAAAGGAGAGTTAGGGTAGGGGAGTGGAGTTTTGGATTTTAAAAGTCAGAGATGTGTGAGATATATCTAAGTAGCCCGTTGGAGTCAGGGGGCATAGTCACAGTGAGCTGAAGCCATGGCGGGGATGAGTTCAGCCCAGGACAGTACACAGTCAGATGGAAGCTGGCCCAGGATGCAATCCAAGGAACACCACTAACACTCAGGAGATGGGCAGAGGAAGGTTAGACCAATAAAGGAGACTGAAAGAGAGGCAGGAGAGACAGAAGGAAAAATGGTAAGAATGCAGTATCAGAGAAGTGAAGGAAGCAGAGGTCAACAGTGTTAAATACTGCAGAGGAACCAATCAAGATAAGAACTGAGATCTCGAAAATAAATTGCTGTGACCTTTCAATGGGACAGAGAATAAGACAAAATTCCCACTGACCTGTTGTTTCACACAGAACTCGAACTCTTGGCCATCATTATTTTTTTTTAAATATATTTTTATTGATTTCAGAGAGGAAGGGAGAGAGAGAAACATCAATGAAGAGAGAGAATCATTGATTGGCTGCCTCCTGCAAGCCACTTACTGGTGATTGAACCCACAACATGGGTATGTGCCCTTGAACAGAATCAAACCCGGGACCCCTAAGTCCACAGGCTGACGCTCTATTCACTGTGCCAAACTGGCTAGGGTGACCATCATTATTTTTAAAAAGAAGGAAAGGAAAGGAAAAGAAGAGGCAAGACAAGGAGAAAAAGACAACAAGAAGAATAGAGATGGGAAGGGAAGAAACAAAACATTTGTATCTGATATAAATATTCACATAGTATCACAGATAGATTAAAAATAATCAGCATATTATTAAAGTAATTAAAGTTTCAAAAGTTAAAAGGCAAGATACTTAAAAAAGAAAGGCTTAAGTTCTCACTAAATTAATCTATAAATGAAATACATCTTATCATTGGTTTTATATTATTATTATTATATTATTATTTAGAAACTCAAACATATTCCAAATGCATATCAAAAAATAATGGTTTACAAAAGCTCCATCAGCACTTTAAAAAGACAAAAAAGAGGAACTTGTTTTGTGAGATAATAAACCAGCATGATACTGGCATATACAAAAAGAGACCAACACTGCAAAATAGAGTTCTGAAACAGATCCAAGTATACATGAGAACCTATTGTATAATTAAGATTGCCCCATAAATTAATGGGAAAATAACAAACCATCAGTAGGGGAAAAGTGGCTCCATGTGTAGAGAAAAAATAAAAATAGATCCCTGCCTAATACTACAGAGGTGAACCTCAGGTGAATTAAGGACCTAAATGTGAAAGGTAAAACTATGAAGCTAATAAAAGTTATGTAGAAAAATATATTGGTGACTTATGGAAGAAAAAAACGTTCTTAAATAAATCCAAAAGGACAAAACTTGTGTATTATCTATGCAAAATAAAAAACAATTTGTGCCCAACTGAGCACATTTAAGGTAGGCTCAGCTAAGCTATGATGTTCAGTAGGTTAAGTGCATTAAATGCATTTTCAACTTACTATTATTTTCAATTTACGATGGGCATTTCAGGATGTAATCCCACCATAAGCCAAGGAGCATCTGTAATGGGTGGCTTTAATATACATTTAAAGAAAACATTAGAGAAACGGTTCACAACCTGTGGGTCGCGACCCCTTTGGCGGTCGAACGACCCTTTCACAGGGGTCGCCTAAGACCATACTGCGTATCAGATATTTACATTACGATTCATAACAGTAGCAACATTACAGTTACGAAGTAGCAATGAAAATAATTTTATGGTTGGGTCACAACATGAGGAACTGTATTTAAAGGGCCAGAAGGTTGAGAACCACTGCATTAGAGTATTGAGTAAGTACTATAAATTTTTTTATACACCATAAATGCTACCCCTTCAGTTCTTCATACATTTTTATTACAGTCCACATTAACTTCCAAAATACCTATGAGTAAAACTAATTAATAAGAGAGATATCAATTATAATCTGCCCCCCAACCACTTGGAAGATTTTCAAACTAAAAGAACTAATAATACTCCTCTTAAAATTAGTGCTATGTAAGTCCTCAGCAAATGGTCCAAGAAGAATAGAATTAAATTTAAAATGCAGAATTTTGAAAGTTGTAATAAACACATAGTTATTATAAGCACAACTGAATGAAATTAAAATAATGTATAACTGAAATTTAATTGAAATCTTGGGTTCCCCTAAAATACTTAGGGCTACAATACAACTGCTTTATTTCACTACTGTGCGCTTCCATAAGAGGTAGATCAGGTACCTCAGAATTCAACTATACTAAGAAAAGTGTAAAGAAAAAAATCAGCAATTGTTTTGAAATGAGGTATCTACAAGACTTAAGTATAACAGCTTGGGAAAGGCCCAAATTCAGTGCATCATAGACTGGATACTCAAATCTTTATAGACTAGGTAATAAACTTCTTTAGGTACATTTATAACCCTCAAATAAAAGATATTTAATTAAAGAATTCACTCAGACATTCAACTCCCTTTTTTATCATGGTACTTTGATTTTGACTTTCCTTTAGAGCCAGTAAAACCTGCTAAAAACAAAATTCATATAATTTATTTAACTTGTTTAATATACTAAAATATTTCTTCTTCAAGCCATTAAGCGCTTCTCCCTGCCGCCCCCCACCCCCATCCCATCTACCTCCTGTATATTTCATAAAACTATAAAATCACCACTAAATGGTGTGGTATAGTAATCCACAGGTATACTAAAGGTATCAGATTAATAAAATATACCTTGAACAACAACCTGGCTGCCTGGGACAAAGAACTGCTGTGTGCCATCAGCTGACTGTGCTGCATATTGTACAATTGCAGCACCTGGTGGAGGAGCTCCTGAATTTGTCATTGTTAATGCCTGTAGTCCCTGAACACCATCAGATCCTGGGTTAGAAATCTGGATTGTTCCACCTTGGGCTATAGCAACTTAACAGAAAAAGAAAACAAATATTAGAGAATTTCAAGCTTCATTTTTCATCATCTCATATTGGAAGAATATATTCTGGATCTATGTGTTTATTACCAATGTTCTCAATTTACCCTTATTTCTCAACTAGTAGCCCGGTGCACGAAATTCGTGCACATTAAAAGGGAATTAATTGCCCTAACTGGTTTTGCTCAGTGGATAGAGCATCGGCCTGTGGACGCAAGGGTCCCAGGTTCAATTCAGGTCAAGGGCATGTACCTTGGTTGCAGGCACATCCCCAGTGGGGAGTGTGCAGGAGGCAGCTGATCGATGTTTCTCTCTCATGGATGTTTCTAACTCTCTATCCCTCTCCCTTCCTCTCTGTAAAAAATCAATAAAACATATTTTTTTAAAAAGGAAATTAATTAGCAGAGATATTTTAACATTGCTATTTGCCCTTTCTCTATAACAGAAGTGTGACAGATGAAAGGAAATTAGTAAAATGTATATGGAAATCATATATAAATTTATTAATAAACAGTAACAAAAGGATATAACAGCAGAGGCATGATATAAAAATGACAAAACATGATATGAAGACAACAAAAACATGATATAAAAACAACAGTGATGCAAACAATGACTGATAAAGTGATTAAACTTATTCTAATATCTCCCTGTACACCACATTAAGAATGAAAACACTTTCAGAGTGCTTGACTAATTTCCCTTGTGATGAAGTACTTAGAACTTTAACTGTAACATCACATGCTCTTCAAACTTGAGAGAAAGCAATATATAACTGATCATGTACAAAAACAGGTTCAGGTAGGAACATGCCTACTCTGTCTAGAGTTTGTCCTTGTGATTTATTAATAGTCATCACAAATGCTGGCATCACGGGAAACCGTCGTTGAATCAATTTAAATGGGAGGCCAGTGTCAGATGGGGACAAATTAATTCTTGGAATCAGAACAGCCTCTCCCTCTGCAGATCCTGTTAATACTTCAGCTTTGATAATGTTAGGTGGTAATCTTTTGATAATAAATCTGGTACCATTACAAAGACCCCATTTACTATTGAGATTTCTCAATAGCATGATGATTGCACCCACTTTCAATTTTAATTTATGACACGGCATTCCCGAAGGAGTAATACTATTCAGAAATTCGATGGGGAAATTTTCCTTTGTTTCTTTGTTATGGGGTGGGGCCACAACAATAGTAACAAAGAAACAGAATGAAAACTTTATTGTGGGGAGCCACTACAGTGTTTTGGACAGGTTCAAGCCTTGGACTGAGGAGAGGGCACAGTGCTCTCATTGCCACATGCAAGTCCCAGCTTGGAGGGCAGGGCCCTCCCGGCACAATTATAGCCAACAGCTGTAGTTGTAAACTTGAACCTATGGTGATGTGGGCTTGATAGAGTTCAGGTGCATGTAGTTGAGTAGGATTGAAACTCAGGAGAATGTTTGTAAACATCTTGGTCACGCCCTTACTTTGCCTCATAGCATCTGCTATAAAATAAAGGCATGGCTGTGGACATGGTCGCTGTCTCTCAGAGAAGCAGTGTCCCACAGAGACCCAGCTTTCATTCTCTTGTCTGTCTTTTCTAAGCCTTTCAGCCGCCCCACTCAGGTTCACCCCGTGCTGGCATGGCACACTTTAGAAAGATCTGCCTCCATGCTCCCAGGGTGGGTTCCTGCCTCAAACTCCGCCCTTACAGGAAACAGCTCTGGGAAACAGCTTGGGGGAGGGCGCAGCCGTTGCCAAGACAACCCCTGTAGGACTGACTTCCTTCCACTCAGTCACGGCTGTTCATCTGTATGTGAGGAACACCACCCATGGTTTTTATATAAGTATATGTTGAATTGATAAGGAGATCCTCTTTCACAGGACAATATTCTTTTTAAAATATATATATTTTTATTTATTTCAAAGAGGAAGGGAGAGGGAGAGACAGATAGAAATATCAATGATGAGAGAGAGTCATTGATCGGTTGCCTCCTGCACATCCCCTACTGGGGATCAAGCCCGCAACCCGGGCATGTGCCCTTGGCCAGAATCAAACCCAGGACCCTTCAGTCCGCGGGCTGGTGCTCTATCCATTGCGCCAAACCAGCTAGGGCAGTGATGGCGAACCTATGACACGTGTGTCAGAGGTGACACACAAACTCATTTTTTGGGTTGATTTTTCTTTGTTAAATGGCATTTAAATATATAAAATAAATATCAAAAATATAAATCTTTGTTTTACTATGGTTGCAAATATCAAATAATTTCTATATGTGACACGGCACCAGAGTTAAGTTAGGGTTTTTCAAAATGCTGACACGCCAAGCTCAAAAGGTTCGCCATCACTGAGTTAGGGCCACAGGACAATATTCTGAAAAGGCTCCTAAGTATTTGAAAATAACTTATATTCAGAACTGATTGAAATATATAGAGCTCATGGAGCCTTCTTCTTCCCTGGCACCCATCCAACTAAATTATTTAAAAAGAGAGCAGATACATATAGGGAGAAAGTCCAGCTTCAAGAGAGAGAGAGAGATAGAAACATCGATGAGAGAAAATCATCCATCAGCTGCCCCTTGAACTGGGGATCGAGCCTACAACTTGGGCATGTGCCCTGACTAGGAAATGAATTGTGACCTCCTTGTTCATAGGTCGACCCTCAACCACTGAGCCACACTGGCCAGGCCCTTTCAGATATTTTTAGGTATAAACAGCATTCTTTTAAGAAATCGTCAGTGAAATTCCATTGAGCATCATAAATATAATGAATTTGTACCTTCATTCAACTACTTTTCTAATTTATCATCAGAAGAAAATAGCTTTTCACAAAACATATATATATATTTTTAAAGCTCAAGTCTACAAAACTGTAGCCTTTACCATTTTGACTGTATCAGGAGAATCCTGAAATATAAAATGTTAAGTTGGAAAGGACCTTAAAAGATATTGTATTGAAACAATTTGTGCTACAATATTAACCTCTACACCAAGTGTCTTAAATAACTAACTCAGCTAATAGCAACAACTATGAGGATTTCCTCTAAATACTGAGACTTGCCAGTCATGTTTAAAAATTAACATAATTAACTGAAAGTTTCAAAGGAATAACTAATCAAGTGAAATGTTTTTAAATGTCACTTAATAGACAAATCTAAGTATCTGAGAGTTAGGTATACTTGAACATAAAGATTATGACTCTACGTTTTAAACACTGAAGATTAGGTGGAATCAATAGCTATCTTTTTTAAAAATGTATTTTTTTTAATTTATTTCAGAGATGAATGAAGAGGGAGGGAGATAGAAATATCAATGATGAGAGAGAATCATTGATCAGCTGCCTCCTGCATGCTCCCAACTGGGGATGGAGCCTGGAACACAGGCATGTGCCCCGACCAGGAACTAAACCATGACGCTCAACTACTGAGCCACACAGGCAGGCCTATCTTTTTCTTTTTTTTTTTTTTTAATCACATAAACTAGCTAACTAGATTTTACAATGAAGAAAAAATAGCACATCATCAGAATAAGACAATACCAATAAATCAATGTAAATACCTTACAGGAATGTTACAGTAGCATCTAAATCATACTCTGAACATTTCCAAGTCATTCCCTAATATTTTAATAGTATCTAAGCAAAGGATCACTTAAGTGATGAGTGATCCTATAAACCTGTCAGAACCATTGGAAAGTGTAACAACAACAAATCTTTAATTCGTTGACATAAGGTTCTAGGGCCTTACACAAAAAGATGGGTTACCATTTTTTTTAAGAGTTCAACATAGATATATCCTCCGTGTTTTAGCTCACTGACAGGCCACTATTAGAACAGGGTTAGCAGAAACGGAAGAATCAGTATTAAATGTCAACATTGCTGAAGCTGAGACACTCTGCTGTAACATCACTTATTGGGTTCATCCAGAGAATTATATTCTGTCCACATTTTAAAAACAAGATTCATCACGACTCTCCAAAGATTTCAAGGGTCTCGAGATTCACCCCTTGCAATAAAAGGGTTTGTGAGAGATTTAACTATATCTACCTTCTTAAAAGAGAAGTACAGTATGAAAAAGAAGAGATAATGCTTCCTGAACCTTCATGGCGGGACATGAATAAATTTTATGTTATCATACATTTGAGTGTGTATTTTCAGCTGATAATTAGTTTGATGTCATAGAAATAGTGCTTTGAGAAACAACACCCATAGTAATGTAACTACACTGTATATGAAGCACAAGGCCTAGTGTTAACCTAAATTTTAAAAGCCGAAATGAGACAAGCATTTATTTGAGGTCAAAGAATTATAATTTGGGGAGCAGTTTTAGGCAGAAACTCAAATAGTGCCCTGATTACAGGGTGAAAGCAAGAGGGTTTTATGAGAAAAAGGAAAGGAATAATTATAAGAAAAAAAATTCATATTAGTACTGATAAGCTGAGACATGCAACTGAGACAAAAATGCTTATTCCTATGCCCACACTGTTGTGAGCAATGAAGAGTCCACACTGGTCTACGAATACTACTTGGGACTCAAGCAGAAGTAAAATTGTTCTTTTATTTTAGTCTATATGCATACTTATTTTCCTCTTTTAAGTAATCCTTAATAACATTATAGTTTCATAAAATATCTAAATTGAAATAAAAACGAATAACTAGATTATATATTCAACTATATTCTACTCCAATGTCCATTATTAATTTGTTCAAGACTGTTAGTATGTTATCTGCTCATAGTAGTGGTGGGTAGAGGTTAAGCTCTGCTGTTCTAGTTGCTCTGGGAGATACCTAGCTTCCCCCACCCCAAATCTTAGGTGAGCTATACCACATAATTAAGTGGGGCACTCTATATGCACCAGTTGAATGTTGGACATACTGATCTTTCATTAAGAAAGAAACTGTCTAAGTAAAGTGTAATTCATTAATTTACTAAGTTATTTTTCTACTACATTAGTTCTAGTGGTTACACAAATGTTTTTATATAGAGCCTTATACAGGCATGGCATTAGTT